GCGCGGGCCCGCGCCAGCGGGGCGGGGGGGGCGGTCGGTGGCAAGACGAGCTGGGAGCAGCCATCGCGGAACGCGCCGATGTTCTGGGTTGTTGTTCTTTAGCCAGAAAAGGATTTCATAACCCAGCTGGCTCCTGGTCCTTAAGACGGCAAGTGAGCAAATTGACTTAAGAGACCGAGAGCCTTTCAACTCAGGCAGGTCAGTTCGGGGCAGAGGAAGAGGGTCCTGAGCACATGGGAAGGAGAAGAGACAGGAAGCATTGTGTGAATCATGTGCTGGTGGATGGGAGCGATCCACAGGGCGGGCGGAAGAGGGGCCTGCTCACGCTGCATTTACTCCCGGGGGGAGGACGAGACCCACACCCTGGGGCTCCGCACAATTCTGGCACAAGCAGCTGGAATGTGGCCAGCTCGCTTGGAAGGGTTGGAAATGTGGGTTTCAGTCACCTGCCGCCTCCAAGCATCTGGTGAAACCTCTTCCTGTCAGTTCAGTCCAAGCCCTTGAAACTGACCGGTTCAGTGCCTCTGGAATCGTTCCTCTTTGAGGTTATGGAAATAACTGAGGTCCTGCACTCGCCTTGGGATTTCCTTGAGAGCTGGAAAGCCATCCCGTTTGGTCCCTTTCATCTTTCTCTTTTGCTCTGCACGCGAGAAAGGACGACCCCGCAAACCCATGGCTGACTGGAGAGCAGAAACGAGTCACCCGGCCAAGGAAGGATTCTTGCAGGAGGCGACCTGCAGGAATGGAAGAGGCCCCCTTCTTCTTTGCAGTTTCTCACTGCAAAATTGCAAGGCAGAGAACCCTGGAACGGGCCAGGGGTGTCTGCAGGGGAGGGGTCAAGATAGCGGCCCCGACTGCGCACTCCTTTTCTATGAGTGCTGGGACTTCACTCAGGGCTTCAACTGCATGGCTGTGGCCCCCATCTTGACTTTTTTGACCCCTCCCCTGTGGACACCCCAGCCCCAGGCAACGGCACCAAATCAAGAGACCGACTCTGTTTTGCCTCAAAAGTGTAAAATGGCCTCTTGAAAAATCAGTTGTGCCCCTCCCCAGCCACACACCTGCCTGCCTCTGCAATAAGGACACCCCCAGGGCTGGGTTTCAGGTCTGGCATGGCTCCCCCATCCCTCTCTGAGCCAGAGACAAGCTGGCTCCTCCCTGCCAACTCCCAAAGCCTGCTGGGGTTTGTGGCCAACTTGGACGATTTGGCCTGATCCCAAAGATGTCTTAAAACAGGGACCCAGTGATACCTTTTCAGACTAACACTTTTATTAAAAGGCAAACGTTTTCCTCTAGTACTGTAATGGTATGTGGGAAAGACCCTGAGAAATAGGGTGAAGAGATGCTGCCGAGGGAACGGTTGGATAAGAGGGGGCACAGCCCGCAGCTGCATAATGGCTGGAGAAAGAGGTTCAGAAGGGATCCCCCTAGTTTCTCAGGCTGTAAAGGAGACGGCAGGAGAACTGTACTTTCAGACTTGCAAAATGCTGTTAACGCGGCTTTACAATAAAATAGAATTAGCTCATCTGGTTGTGTTTCCTGTCTGGTCCACCAGGGAAGGCTGACAAGTACATTTTGTGGGTTGGAAAAAGCGCTCCTGATTTTTGGCTACCCGAGACTATCACAGGTCTCCTCCTCCGCCCACCTCCTTTTGCGCTGCCTTTCTGACGGCAGACTTCAAACCTTGTTCTCTGCCCAGGCTGTCCCTGCCACTGCCTGCACTCCATCTTCGGGCCCTCCCCGCTGTCCCCCTCGCTGCCTCCAGCATCTCCCATCCGCACAATGTGTTGCACAGCCCCTGCCTTGCAACGCCTTCCGTGTAATGCCTGCCTCTGTGCGTTCAGAGCTCCTTTGCAATGAACCCACGCCCATGTGGACAATCACACCGTCGCAGGGCTACTCCTGAGGTTTTCCAAGTCTCCGGGGTGTCCACAGGGCGAGGATCAAAAAAGTCAAGATGGGGGCCATGATTATGCAGTCAAAGCCCCATCCTGTTTTACGTGCATCACGTACACCCCTGCAATCTCCTGAACACCTTCCTCTTCTTGCAAGATTAATGTATTTCATAGTTGCTGGTTAATATGGGCTGGGGAATCAGTAATTCAGTCAAGCCCTTGAGTTTCCCAAAGAGGCCCTCACCCAGTGGCAACGCAGCCCTCTTCCAGCATTTTTAAAGAGAGGAAAAATAACGAGAAGTAATCAATAGCTGATCTCTCCCGCCTACATTCTGGGGAAGGAAAAAGGGACAGTTTGTCATTCCAAGAGGTTATTCATGACTAAACTCTCATTCAAGATAAACAGGAATAAGTAGAAAAGAATTAGAAATTTCTTCTTTCTTTCCTAGAAGGGGCTGTTTAAGATACGAGAGAACTTAGAGCGTTCTGCTCGGTGCTCAGCACGGCTTGCGCAGCTGAATTTATTTGCGAGTTACAGACAGTGCTTGGTGGAGACAAGGACATTTCAGGATAACATGATCTCCTGTGAAAAGCCATTTCCAGCTAATTGTTTTAAAAAATATAAGCACCCTGATTTGGGAAAAGAGCGCTTCTATCAAAGTTCCTCTTGATCATCTCGAGATGACTGCACTATTAGCATAAGTGAATTATCGTCTGATTATCCGAGAAGACATTTGAATGCAGTTTTGAAAAGATAAGCTATCTAGCCCCAGCGATAGAGTTTATTTGGTTGGGTTGATCATTTGGGCATCACGGTTCTCTGTTTTGCAGTGACTTTGGGTTTTAAGCAAAAATGATGATACAGCCCTGGTGTCCTACAGTGAATTAGGCACCCGCCGGGCACCACGGCATTAGCCTCTAGACCAGAAACCTCACTGAACTGCTGTTTCAGCTGGACATAAAACAGGTTATCAAACTGGATTTCGAGTCCACAGCGGGAGATGGCCCGCATCTTAAGCACCGCGAGGAAGACAGAATGCAGGCCCCGTAATTCTTACACAATAAATGGTCGGCCTCCCCATATAAACCTGCTCTCGGGTTTCTAAATATATAAATGGAAAGTGCCATGCCAGCCCTGATGGGCACCCAGAGTGAACAAACATCCCTGTTTAAGAGTAGGCAAGGTCTGCCAAGACGTCTTCGCCGAGAGAGGACTCATTTATCACAAAGCAGCTGTAAGCTCTGCGAAGGAGCGGCGGATTGCAGGGGGCACGAGGACCGCATCTGGCCTCTCCTTACAGCCAAATAGGGCAGGGTTGCCACGTCTGGATCACAGAACTCCTGGCAACCAGAAGGGTTCACCTGGAGTTTTGCAGCCCAGCTATAGCAACCCAAAATCGGGGCCCTTTTAATTATTCCAGGGCACGAACTTCCTCGCCCCCAATGCACTGTTCCTCTGCTTTCCACTTCGGCTAAAGAAAGAGCCCACATTCTGCGCAGGTCTTGAGGCTTCATCCAGATTAAATCAATGTGCCTCTCCTGGCACACTTAGAGGGCACCGTTCTGCTCTCGTTAACCACGGGGGAAGCTCCAAAGCCGGATAAAAGGGCGCTCACGTTTTCACAAGGCTCTGCTTATGTGACTGCAAAGGCATTTTGTTACAGAAATACTACAGAAAGTGTAAATATATTCCTCATCTCTGTACCATCACATGCTTTGTTTCTTCACAAGGGGAAGAGGAGATGAAACGGAAACTGCCTTAAATAGCAGCCGTTGCCCCCTTATTCACACCACTCCTTCTGCGAAAATTTCCTTTCAGCCTCGCCAGATTTACTTCTTACATTCCCTGAGATTGACGCTTGGGCCTCTTCCTGGTCCAAGAAGGCTTAAGTGAGGCCTTGGAGAACCATCTTCCTACCTCGCAGGGCTGTTGAGAACAAACAATGAGTCGGTTTATTACTATTGAAGAGAAGGTTGGAAGTGGCTTATTTTTTCTTGTTCCTTTAACTCTTTTTCTTTCTCTGCTGTTTGCCCTTCCTTTTTATTTCTTTCTCTCTTTTCCTCCTACAGTATTTTTCTTTACATTTGTTTTTTACTTATGTAAAAACGCTTAATAAAAATCATACAAAAAGAGAAAGAGAACGGCCTGAGGAGAGGGCGTTGCCTTGCGAAGCTGGGGAAGTGAAACCAGCTGCTCGTGAATACTAAATGCTCCTTCGCAGCAGCGTTAAAACGTTTCCATCAGGTCTCCGTGCCTAGAAAGAGCCAGCCAATTCTGGGCAGGAAGGACAGAATTGGCACCCCCTCTCCTGCAACGCCAGGCACGGGGGCGGCTGGACCCGATCAGACCCAGCCGGGTCCAACTTCTTGAACTGGGATCGGAAAGAGGTCCCCAGAAGCCCATGCACAGAACAACATGCAACGGGCCTCCCCTAACTGTGGATACACTACTACTGTAGATGGAGGTTCCATGCAGCTTTCCCAAATAACAGTGACGGAGGTCCGTGAGAGGAGCCGTCCCTTTCTATCCCTCTTCCCCAACGTGGTGCCCTCCCAGGGGGTGGGACTCCAACTCCCAGCACGCTAAAAAGAAAATGGTGGGGCTTCCATTGCACAGCCATGGCACCCTCAGGACTTCTTGTGAGGGGAGGGAAGCGGGAGGGCCGAGATTATGGGCTGGCACACGTGGAGCTGCTTCCTCCGGTTGCCTTTGGGTGGCCAGAGCCCCGTCGCCCGCGATCCCTTGTTAGGAAAACCGTGAGGAGGGGGCGCTTAAAAGTCGGAGAAAGGCGAGCGCGAGACAAGCCAGCCACGAACGGAGGAGAATCGGCCACGACTTGAGTTCACCCTGGTTTGCGCAGGGTGGGAAGCTGTGGCCTGCGGATAAACCACGATGGCCAGACCCCGAGGCTGGAATGCCCAATACCCCGTGCCCCCAAACCCCCCAGCCCTGAGATGTGGAACCTCTGGCACCTTTCCTTGGAGAGCCTGGCGCTGCTGCTGCAACTTTTCAGAACGGCACCTCCAGGCTGTTCAACCGGTAGAGTTCTAAATCAAGGCCAGGTTTGCAAATTGCTAATAAAGCACCATCCGAAAGAAAGCGAAGTTGGGTTAGTGCTGGAGGCTCCGGATTGGGCCCCTGCGACCTCCTGCCCTCCCTCCTCTCCTCCAAGAGCCTTCCCGGGAGGATTGTTTTTTTCGGGGGGGAGTCCAATCCAACGCACGCGTCGGGCGCAGGTTGGGGAAGGCTGCGGGGGGCGTTTCCCTCCGCTTTCCCCGCGGGTCTTCCACGCCGCCGGCTTCGTTCCCCACGTTGCCCGGCAGGGGGCGCCAAGGGCTTCTCCCCCGCGTTGCACGGAGCCCGGTTCGGTTGCGCAAGCGCTCCTTACCAAGCCTTGGGCTGCGCTTTCCACTCACTGGGACAGGCAGACGTTCCACCAGTGCAGCTTCCTCCTTCCTTCCTTCCTTCCTTCCTTCCTTCCTCCCTTCCATTCCCACCCTCGCCGCTCGCCCCGTCCCCGCACAGGTCCATCCCTCTGCTCGGATGGCGGCTCTCCCCAAACCGTGCCCTCCGCTCCGCCCGGCAGCCGGA